TTTCTGTGGAATGCATGTGGTACCAAGACAGTTGCAGCATGAGTCAATCAGCGACTGAAGCTGTCTTTTACATCTGTGTTACAGGTATGTGACATATGTGTTGCAATTGTTTGTAAATACAGCAAATAATATGATCATCCAAATTTTGCACACCTTTCCAAAATACTACTATAGGCAAGCAAAAGCCGGGCAGCACTACCCTGCACATTCAAGGTATCAGATTGCTAAGTAATCTGAAACTCCAAATCATCGTCTGAGCTCCAACAGTGTCTTTGTCCGCTTGATCATCACATGACACCAGGACATGGACTTGCAGCTGTGCAGAACACAGCTGCAACAACATGAGCATTGCACTCACTTGAATGTGCGTCCACATATCTCACACATTGAGAGCGAAACTTTGCTCCAGTAGTCGTGCATCTTTTTGTTGAATTCATTAACCTCGTCTGCATCGACAGGCAGGGGCCCAGAGAGCTCTGCTGGCATTGCCGGAAGAGGCCTGCGGTCTTTCCTGAAAGACTTTTTGGCTTCACGCTCCTCCCATAATCTCTGGCATCGTGGGATGTGCAGCGGAAAGCTGGCACAGCATTGAAGAGCATTTGGAAGACAATATCAGTGGCCACAAGAGGGCCAGGACTGGCGAATAGAAATCCAGTGAGTGTGTTTGCAAACTCCAAATCTTCATGTCATCAAGCACGCTTGAGATGTAGAAACAAGTTTGGCAATGCAGATGCTTGCCGCGTGCATGGGGGTTGGTGCCAAATCAGGTGCCACAAAAATGCCTTCAATGTCAGGATGGCCAAGACATGCTGGTTGTCATCATAGACTTTGGATGCGTACAAGCCAATCATCGCCTACAAGGTTTAAGGGTCCAGCAATGTCCTGTGCAGGCAACTGCAATCTAAAAAGTGAACTATAAACGCCTGAATGGTTACCACACAGGTTGATAATTTCGACCCGCTTCCTTGCATTGGACAAAGATGCAGTGCTCATCATATCCCCATGTCTATCGAATTGGGATGACGTTCTGCAAGCAGTAGACTGAGCTGGCACATGATCAATCTGAGTCGCAATTTCCACGAATGAATTCATTTTACCTCCAAGATCAAAGGTTCCCCAGCCACATATACGCATGGGCAACCACAGCAACATGACATGTGATGGGCCACTGCCCAAGGTGCTCTACTGACTCTCATGGCATGGTGCAAAGAGTTTGTCTCCAGCTAAAAGCAAAACGAAGTGCAATGCACTATTGACCACCACATTAAGTTGCGTGCGTAGAAAGGACCGGCACCTTTTTCGAAGGTTTCACTCTTTCCACTTCAGGACATAAGGTTTTCTTTCCTTTTCAGGTTTTTGGTACCTTGTGAGACGGAAGCATGGGAGCCACCCACACATTCATCAGGAGCAAACACTGTGGACATCAACATTTTTATTCGAGGGCACCCTCCTTGTCCAGCACAGAGTGTGTTCAAACCAAAATTCCTTTTGTGCCCACCAGGGCATGGCATTCCAGGTTCTGGACATATTGAAGATTTGCTAGCACGCGATGGTGGCACATGCCATTGACGTGCTGAGCCTTCATTCAATTTGATTATCCACAACTAACAATGCGGCAAAGGGTCCCCATCCATTAAGATCTATTGAGGAAAAGTGCAGCACCTGATCTCTTTAAGGTGATGTGTGAAGCCATGGAAAGAAGTTGCCTTTGCATGACAAAACAGTTTGGTGGCAAATATCGAGAGATACAGCTAGCACCTGCCACCCTTACATTGTGACTCCGTATTGGCTGCCACACAGGTAGCACGTTAGGAAGCAATGCGGGGAGCCCACACCCGAAGAATTAGACACCCCATCGCCACCTGGAGATGGAGATCGTGCACTCCTGGGGAACGACCAAACCCTCTTCATTCCAACAGGCCCACCAGGGGTCCTCTCATTGCACAACTTGCTGTGTTTCTCAAAGGCCTCAGGTCTGAACCTCCGGTCACAGATCGGGCAAGCCGTCATCGTCAGCCTCTGGCAGCATTCGAACATCCGGGCGTTGAAATCTTCGATGGCCTCAGGATCAGTAGGCAGCCGCTCCTCAGCGACTTCGATGGGCCTCTCCGGCAATCCCTTGGGTTTTGGTTTGCTTGCCTCTGCTGTCATCCACCTCTTTTCACACTGGGGAACGTGGGAAAGCAGCCTGACACCATACATGTTCCTCAGATGCATTTCCATCTGTTTTCAACCATCCAGAAGCTGCCAGTTGGTGACAGAAAAATGCCCCTTGAAGCTGACTGTTGCAGCGGCCTCTTTTCTCCAATCCCCAGGAAAACTTTCATCCCCAGGGCAAGCCATTGGAATGATGCCACAGTTGGGTCAAGCTCGTGTTCCCACCCACACTGCCCACCAAGTACATTTTCAGGGACGCAACATCCACATGGCAACATTTCATGGCAAGCGTTTTAATCCAACAACAGTTCTTGGGATGTGGCTGCTCAGTTGTTCGTTTTTGCTCTGTCATCACCAATTTGGGCTGAAGTGTCAAAGAATGGAGCAATTGCAAATGAAAGCACCCTGAAGCAAGAACACATGTCATCACCTGCAACATGCAAGGAGAGTGTCGTGGCATTTGTGGTGAGTAGAGTCAAGAAAATTAAATTCTTCCCTTCTGTGACAGAGCATGAAAGGCACATCTAGCAGCCGCCATCTTTACCAAGCTGTCTACAAGGATCTGGGCAGGCCACTAGCTTGCCTTGAGAAATCTCGAAATCTTGATATACCACCAGTCCACTCTTGCTCTATCACTATGCACTGTTGATTGATGGGCTTGCTTTGGTATTTGCAGCATCATGGCCAGGAAATGCATCCAGACATTGTATCCCTGACCAGGACGTGCTACAGGCGTTTCAATCTTTGAGGAACACCTTCCAGAGTTGTGCCATTTCCCCACAAACTTCAAGCTCAAATCTGGTTCCCTGCAAATCTCCAAAAGCATGCAACTAAAGCGAGGCACCCGAATTCCAACCGGGAGCCTCAAGAGACTGGACACGTTTTCCAGAAACCAGGACGTCCAGGACTGGCTGTGCCCAAGAACCAGTTAGAGCAGGAATTCGGGAATGACATGAGGCCCAGCACCACATTGTACCTCATTGCCCTGGCGGTGCCTGGATACGCCAACAGAATATCTCCGGCGCCAAATGGCGTCGTCCTTGCCACGCCAGTGCATTACTAATCCTTGGCTCCGAGCGCAATAAGGTGTCCTACATGTGCCAAGCGTGTTCGCTGCACCGACATCACTCGCTTCGATTGCGAGCCCCATGATGACGCTACAATGGTGGCAGACCGACCCCCTTCCAACCCACATTCCACCCCTCCCATCCGCCAGCAAGCACAGCCATGAGGCCACGCGCAACACCGCCCACTCCCGCCACGCACATTCCCAGAGCCTCACTGCGTCAAAAGCTCGGCTTTCAGGCCGCCCCGTCCGCGAACAACTTGTTGGCCTGACGTCCACTCGTGATACCACATCATCCCGGTCGGTGGCGCTGCCAGGATATGGAAAAGGGCGTTTGACAAAACGGACACTCGGGCGGGCCTCGAACCGGCAACTTCCGGAAAGGACACCAGTGCTCCACCAAAATCACCTGGCCAGGGATAACTTTCCCGGTCTGCATGGCCCTAGTCCCCTGCGTGTCCATGGTCCGTTGAGCACCCCATCATCCCAACAACCACCCAATCACCTGGATCCGCCATACAGATGGCCGCACAGGTAGCACACGAACGAGTGCTCCCCGCCGGCGGTCCTCCCGCTGGGACCAGGCATGTTGACCGGTCAGCGACTGAGCGCCATGACCCCAGATCGTGTCGAGATGCGCTCAGCTAAGGGTGCATCAACTCATCCAGGTCGCGTGGCACTGACGGAGCGCGCCCGAGGGTCTCCTAGTTGGGAGACGGCGCCTTGAGTGGTGTCCGGTTTGCTGTGGGGACAGTACAGTTGGTGTTGGGTCCTCCTGTGCCTCTTCTGGACTTGTCCCTGCCATGCTTCGTCAACCTGTGGAGAACGGCGAGTGTTGGGGGTGGTGCCGGAGGGATGTGTGACAGGGCTAAAAAAGGGGGAACAGGTGGCTGAGAACGTGCTCACGACTGACGGCTTCAGCAAGCGGGGAAGAAGTGTGACCCAATGGTATAGAGCCCGACACATGCGATAAGGCACAACAGACCCAAAGCTGAAAACTGTCTGATTGGGAGGATGTGTATTATCCGTGGATTCCGTTGTCAGAATGGTGGCAAGCGATGATGACAGGGGCAAAACCTACTCGGTAAGAGCTTGCTCAACTCTTGCTTGGCGGATAATCTTCCCTCCCGACTCTCACTCTCGCCAAGATAGCACACTATTTCGCCTTCACTGACCATCACCACCCCTTGCGAAACGAACCCCAAGACAGCCATCTTCCTTTGCCCTTTGCTTCGTGACTTGATTCACAGTACTGAGCCGAAGTGCTGCATATCTCACTTAATCCAAATGTGCACCCATTTGCTTCGTGACTTGATTCACAGTACTGAGCCGAAGTGCTGCATATCTCACTTAATCCAAATGTGCACCCATTTACATGGGATGGGCGGGTGGGAGCAAGGCAATGCAGCTCATAGTTGCTGCGCCCTCCTTGTTAAGGAATGTAAGCTTTGGTCCCGTTTCCAGTTCCATCCGATCTCCCGCTTCGGCGTCCCTATTCTGCATCAGGGATATTTTTTTCTTGGGTCTCATCAACAATTGTCTGCTTGCCATCCTTCACATTTTCAAGTCGACTCCAACATTACTTCGCTGTCATCTCGGACGCGACTGCAGCTGGTGAACAACGCAGTGGTACTGCGTCTCTAAAGCGCAGCAACACACCCGTACGAAGCTCACTTCGTACATTTGGCGCCCACTCCCTCAATTCCTGGGTTTCGTGTCCCAACGCCTCAGTGTCGCCTGTGGCTTCTTGTTTGTCTCGTCGCGGCCTGCCTGGGTTATGTCCGCTGCGGAGAGGTTGCACGAGGCGGAAGCGCGCCTGGCGGACTTGTCGCAGCGCGAGGAGCGCCTGCATGCTCAAATTCTGAGCACGGCGTCTCCCAACCCGGACGTCCTGGTATTAACCGCTCGCCCTGCGCAGCGCCAATCCACCGTTCCCCAACCCTATCGCCTCGGGGTGGTAAAAGGATTTGGAGGCGCGTGATCCTGGAGGCATTTTGGGCAGGTTACACGCATCTGCCTAAACCAGTTTGCGCACACGCGCTTGGCAGGCCTCTGCGGTTTGACAAGAGCGGCGGTGCGCTCCATTTCTGCTGCACTGGCCTTTGCAACCTCTTCTTGAGGACGCTGCTGTGGGTGCTAAGAATACAGGTGGTTTGTTGAAAACAGAATCGTTGTTCCCAATAGACCTGCATGTTCCAAGCGCCCGCGACAGCTCGGCAGACACCCGACAAGGCGCTTGTTCCCTGATTCCCCTTCTGGCGCTTGCCGTGTGTAAACTATTGGGCCACGGGACATCACTTCCGTCTTTCTTTGCAGAGAGGCGTCACAGAGCCATGGGGCCACGATCCGCAGGAAGTCGCGTCGAACTTGACGACGGTCATGGACGCGAGGCAGCACGGTGAGGACGAGGGCGCGAACGGGGCGAATGGCGCGGATGGGTTAAGGATGCCTGGCGCGTGTGTGTAAAGAACTATTTCAATTCCAGTGACATGTTGTCCATTTCAGCAAACCCTCCTGGCGAGAACGCGTTTGGCCCTTTCCACTTTCCAGTTCAATAGGAGCTACCAACAGCAAGCACGAAACCGAAGCAAGGAACGCGAATGAGGCAACGAACATGCACTTCGGGAATGCTCTCATGATGGAACAAAATCGCCGCTGTCAGTGCCAGTTTTTTGAGATTTATCGCAAAGCCTGAAGTACATCCCAACATTGGTGCACCCCTGCCTGGCAAGAATACTGTTGGGTCCTTTCCATTTGCAGTACTAGTAGTCACCGACGCAAGACAAAAGCAAAAGAAAAGAACGTGTCCTGAAGCGGCATTCTCGTACTTGTCACTATTTGTGAGTTCTCAGCAGCATGGCAGTGTGTCTGGTCATCCATTGACAGGAAAGATGCAAAGCAGCCATATGTGCTGTTGTCGTTATTCGAATTGCATGGAGGTACAACACCACACAAGGGTCGTGTCTGGGGTGGTTGGGAGTGGGAGGGAGGTGGGAAGAAATGCGGGGAAAATCGCCTGCAAGCAGATGCGCTTACAGACATTGGCAACCTGTCATACCAACTAGGACGGTTCACCATATAACCTGGGATTGCCTGCCTGCAGAGGAGAACTGAGAGAAGCTGTACCAAGGAAAGAAGTCCTCAGTTTCTCGTTATGGCACACTGACAGTTGCAATGGCGACACAATGTACCATTACTGTTCTGGGGTTGGAGAGCTGATTCCCAGTGGAACAGAAGTGTCCATCTTCGAAGCTGTGGAATTGAACGTGGCTTGTTGTTCATTATCGTTTCTGTGGTGCTGTGGGCAGTGAGCAGCCTCCAGGAGTTCCAGGAGCCCATGAGGGAGCTTGAACGAGCGGCAAAGGCAGTGGTCAGAAGTGTGAATGGGGTGAGTTATCTGTGTTGCAGCAATGGGTGGCAGTGGGGGATTGGGTGGGGCTCAATCTGTTACTCGTTTGATTGCATTGTTGCGTTAGCACAGTTTAACAAGCGCCTTTCCTTGCACCTTGCCTGAAAGTTGTTGATGACAGGTGATATGTGCATTTTCACACCATGCATGCGACAAAGAGCAAAGTTGATGCAGAAGGAAGACATTGGAATGGATGGTCCATGAGTTTTGCTGCACGTCCAGGCGATGTCTGGCAATTGCGCATCTGCTGTGTGTTGTTCCTTCACTCAGTGAGCCGTTCCACGATTCACACGCAAAGGGCCATCAGGGACAAGCTTACAACAGGTTGTTGGGAATTGGAATTTGCATTTGTCAGAAGTAGGAAGAGTGCAATTTGGACAGGCAGATTTGATCATGTGGTCACCTGAACAAGGGGCAAGGTGAATGATTGAGGATTCTCAGTTGCTATCATTGAACACGCCCCCAAGTTTGTAGATTGCCCCAATTGATGGCCATTGCATTGTGGCATGTCCTTAGGACTTGGAGGTCTACTGGCAGGCTGTGGGTTGTGCATGCGATTCCTACCGAACTGTGGCACCCCTGTGTTCAATGGTCCAATCGACACCCACAGAATTGGAACACACAGCCCTCCATGACCTGTCCGGGCAGCTGCTGTCAAGGGCAATGGTGAGCTGGCGGTGCTGTTTAATATATTGAAATGAACTCTCCCTGATACTGAACTGATATTCTTTGCACTAGGGCTGAGAAGCACAACAGCCAGCGCAAGAGTTGCAGTTTTGGCTGCTATGTGTTTCAAACAGAAGAGCGGATTGGCAGGCAGGGAACACAAACTGTTGTTATCAGGTGCCCAATTCTCTGCCTGTTTTGTCATTTGATTACAAGCTGAGCTTTGTTGCTGTGTTGAGGCACCCACAGTTCTCTTGTCCAAAATCCTGTGCTTTGTCATTGGCATGTTGAACAGATACTGAGCGCCGCATGACAGCGAATGGATTGTGTGATTTTCTTTTCCTTGATACCATGGGCAGACTCGTGCAAGCTTGTCTGGAAATAGGTTACTGGCACAGCCCGTCAGGGTTCTGCCATGTTCCTTAGTTTTGCTCTCAGCATGGAATATTTCCTCAGCTGCTGCATTGAATTCTTATATGCGCCATGCCTAGTTTTACATGGCATGGGTGTTGTTGTTCTGTACCAGAAAGAATTTATTCTCAGAACATGATGATTAGTTTCCATGTTGATGGGCAGTTTGCGCTCATCCACTGCAGTTCAGATTGGATATGCCCATGAGAGCAAAGATTAGAATTGGCATGTGTGACTCTAGAATTGTGTTCCCCCATACAGCATAGAAGCAAAGTCAGTTCAACACCACAATTAGCCAAACACATGCCTCCCACTTGTACATGGGGCATTTCATGAAGATACAAGGATCCTTGCTATCTTGCTGTGATGCAAGGCACTCCTGTCTGTTGTCCAAGGGTGGTTTGTCATCAGGTATATCACTGACACTGATGCGGTGTCACTGAATTCAGCTGCGTCAAGATGTCAGTGCGGTAATATGCGTCTCAAGGTTGCGTACGAACCTGGGATGGGCTCACAAAAAACTGGAGGGCGAACAAGCCATTATGGTCTGAGCTGTTTTACTTTGGGACATCATCTCACTGTCGCATCAATGGAAACAATGTGCTTTGTACTGAAACGATGTGGCTAGCATGCCTGTAGCTGAATCTGGCCTGGGCATGTCTTCTCTTGCAATGCTGTGATAGGACTCCGTAGCAAATAGCTTATTTAGTGTAGGATGCACATATGTGCTTCCTTACCAGATTCAGCTTTTTTGACTTCCTTCAGGCTTCCATGTCATCTGCCGAGAGGGCCTGCAGAGAGCACTTGGAGCAACAACTGACAGATTGTGGGTGGCCACCGCCACTTGCATCACTGAGTGGTGCCCCTTCTTGGGGGACCTTTTGGGAGCAACTAAGGGAAAAGTCGGTGGACAAGCTCAATGGCCTGTTATTATCCTTTGCCGCACTGACGATGGTGCAGATGGTTATGGAGGAGAGGAGCGGTGAGGTTCGTGATTGAACAAGGCGATGCATATTCAGTTCCCTCAGATTCCAGTACCTCCGATTGCTTTGCCTGGAATTGGCAGATCCATCGTAGGTACTCATAGGGCAGTGCGTGCAAGCATTGACCTTTGGAGGAGTCCTCAAGGAACTGCATGGTTTATGCCTTCAGCACAGCTGCACACTGTGCTCCAATTTAATATGGTGACAACACAGACATGTGCAGCAATGGACAGCAGTTGCAGGAGTTGTTTGTGCTGTGCTCTATGATTTGTGTGCAAATTCGGATCCAACTAGGAATAGCAAGTTCACCTTGCAGATTCGATGGGTAGACAGCAGCAACCTCAAAGACATTTCGATGATGTGTTGGTGGCAGCTGCCAAGATATCGCTAAAGACAAACACGGCCAAACACAGCCAGGATTCAGGTGTCACACAAGAAATCGGCATATAGCTACAGCTGTGCCAAACCGTGGGGTATTTGGGTCACGTGATGCCTTCCCCTGTCACACAGATTCCCCTAAACCCCAAACCTATGGCGTCATGCCCAGAGCGATCGCGCACGTGGCATGATGTGACCCAAGATACTTGTGGGATATACCATGGACAGCTATTGTGCATGTCTGTGGCCTTGTTATGCATGTATTGTTGTTGCGGTTGTCAGCACTGCAGGGAAATGGTTTGTCTCTCTCAGCTGTTGCTGATCATCATTCAGACACAAGCATACTGCTTATGTGTTGTTTGCAACTATCTGCAACCGGGGCTGTTTGAAGCAAATTTTATTGTAACAACCACCAAGAATGGTCACCGTATTTTCTGCAATGAAGGTTGTTTCCCTGCTGTAGGCTATTGTAGGGTACACCTGGCACCCACGCTGGATGCCACCATCCCCTTCCTATCCCCTTATGGGCCCTGCCATCCATCCACTGAATTCGCTTTTTGGCAGTAGACTGAAGGTGGGGCAGGTCGAATGCAAGGGGCTCACAACAGAATCTGAGATACGAGCATGCTGTGCAATATGTGGCCCATTGTTTTAAAGGTGCTGAGCACATTTTTATCTAATGCTGAAAAGCGCATTCAAGGTAGATAGGTCTGACCTGTTCATTTTCCTGCATTTGTTCCATCAGCCTGTTGGCGAATGCCTGTGGTTCATGGATGTGATGACCGCCAGACTGGAAGAACGCCTCCAAACTCATTTTGCGTCTGATAGGCAGACCAGTGACATCGACAGGCCAGACTGGCTGTTTGCCACAGCCCTCAAGCTACTCAAGGAGCACGCTGATGGCATGACATTTTTTGAGGTGAATTATGGCTGCCTGAAGTTGGGACACATAGCAAGGAATCCTGCCATTCTGAACATCATTCTTGCTCCTTAGTGCAAGTCTTCCCAGCTGTGCAAGTCAGCATTGATGCAATCAAATAAACTAATAATCATTGCCTCTGTAAATTATGAAGCCAGCCTTCCCAGCTGTGCAAGTCAGCATTGATGCAATCAAATAAACTAATAATCATTGCCTCTGTAAATTATGAAGCCAGCCACTCACGTTCACAGCAGATTTTGTTCTTGTAGTTTGTGTGTTGTTTGGCAACAACTCCCATTCGGTTTGCCAGTTTGGCTGAGCTGCTGACTGTTGTGCAGATTCCCTGCTGCTTATGGGGGCTTCTGCAACTCCCCCTATCACAGTGAATCAAGTACCAAAATGCTGCTGAGGCAAGGTCTGCCTTTGGTCAAAACCTTGGATTTCGTGATGCAGTTTTCTGATCATGAAGTTTGAGCATGGGTACTGTGCTCAACTCTAGTGGTCTTCAGGCCAGGCTGGCCTGTCAAACCAGATAGCAGATCGTGACACTGTAATCTTCTGCACCAGTGTGTGTCTCATGCCTTGTATTTTCTGTGTATTGTACCTCTGTCCTGTCTTCACAAATCGATCCAAATAATCTGAAAATACATCCCCAAAATTGGTCCATGATTGGCCCACCAGCAAAATGCAACTGAGCCATGGAAACGCAACAATCCCAAAAACCATAGCTACTCTGGTGTTTGCCTATGCCATGTGCTTAGCTCTTCATGGCACCAAAATTTGCATCAAGTAAGTTGTTGGTCATCTGGCAAGGAAACCACATGCTGCCAGTGCTGCTCTGCCTTGGTCATCAGAACTGATGCATGTGCTGCCCCTGTACCATGAAGACGATGACAGGTGTTTTTTAACCACAAGCTACTTCTATTCCTGCCAAACATGGAATGATGTGAGTTGCTGCATGTGCCAGGGCCGTTTGCAGCCGCAGCCTGTTGATTACGCCCTGGCATTTCAACGCAGGATCCAGGCAGCCGTCAAGGGCATCTTGCGGTCCTTTCACCTTCCAAGTTTGCTGCTTTTGGGCTCAGGCAGTTTATGGCGAGACTGGGCGGCTGCTGCGGAACGGTTTGATAGAGGTGTGGCAGAGGCCATAGCACCTGCTGGAGAAGTCCGATGTGCATTAAGCAGCGATGTCCTGCAAGGCTCCCTCAATGTCTTTTGCGAGCAGCAGGAGTGGATGGTGAGTCTACTGTGGCCGATCAATTGATTCCACATATGATATTATGATAATGATTAGTAATAATGCTAATATTGTGAATTATATTATGATAATGCTGACCCTTGTGAGCATTAAATCTCACTTGATAAGTCTTCGTGGGGTACTGCAGTATATTATGCACCTCAGCATCACAATGTGATGCTGGGCATTTCCCCGCAGGGCAATGTTCGAATGGATGTGATGCAATGGATTTCGAAAAGACGTGAAACTTCTAGAATGGGGCACTGTGGCTGGCACCAATGCAGCCAGGTGCATAGCCACATATGAGAACTATTCAATGTTGAACCACGTTGTTGCGATTGAGCATCATTGGCTTTGTTTGCAAAGCAGTGCAAGCGAGCAACAACAACACGATAGGCACTGTTTCCCATCGCAACCTTGCAGCCACTAACCACCAGATCAGTGGTGCCATGAATGGCCTCCATTGGATGTACAGCAGCGGTCAATCGTGGCTGCCCCAACCCCTCTCCAATGCCCCCTCTGAGAGCGCACCCTCCCCCCCCCCACCCCCACCCCCACATACCACACTCACAGCAGGGGCCTGTACCTGTGGACTGTTCAGGTCCAGACGAAAATTGGCCAGCAGCAGGTTGTTCTGCCCTGCCTGAACCTGGTGGACACGATGCACAGCCGCAAGAAATACTTCAGCACTACAGAAGTAGATAGCAGTGCTGCCGCTGGCACCAGGCAGTGTTGTGTGTGCAATCAAGTAGCTTCTTTTGGTGTAGCACATTACCAATGCAAGAATACTAAATGCCACGCAGCCCTGCTGGCAGGTGCGTTTGAGCCTCTGGCATACTGGCTAGGCTATTTGTGTGCGATCATTCTATGTACAGCAATGGAGACATGTTTGACTCGTTCCCATATTATAGCTGACGATGAGAATACAGAAGCTGCCAGTGACAAGAGAATGAGCTGCATTTGGGAGAACGAGGCAAAGGAAAAATGATTGAGGTCTCGCTGTTGGTGCAAACTTCACACAACAGCCGCTTGTGATAACTGAAACCTGGGTATGAATGTGCCCAACAGATTGAGTCTGTTAGTACTGCGGCTGACTGTGCTGTGCATGGTCTGCATGATTGTGCCAGGCAGCATGGTCCCAGGCTGAGGCACAGGCACTTGCATCAGAGATCGAACAGCTGATGGCCGCCCCTGACGCTTGGCAGGCCCCCCAACACGTAAACTGGGAAACTGAAGGTCCTCAGGGTGCAGCTGCAGCAAGTGGGCATGCCTGCAGCCATGAACTATGGCCACCACGCTGTGCCGAGGGGGCTTGGAGCCTTGTGGAAGCTGCTATTCAACGTGCAGAAGGGCTTGCAGTGGAGCACAGGGTACAGTACTTGAGAAATGTTGCAGGCAGGGGACTGCAGGAGGTGATTCGGAAGTTGTCTGCTGTCATGAGGCAGGCAGAATCGCACAAGCAGTTGCTTGCGCCAAATTGGACGCCAAAGGTACGGTTTGGAGTGTCTTGCCCACGTGCAGAAGAATGTGGCATATGTCATAAGTAATGTTGTACAGTAAAAAGGTGACTATTTGCAACGCAGCAGTCGACACAGCCACTCATTGGGCCACATTTAACTTCTGCATGCAGTGACATGTGTGTCACTATGATAGTGTTGCTTTCAAGAGGGCACATTTGCAGGCACCTCCCCAAACCCCTTTCTCTATGAACTCAAGAATTCAAAAGTTGGGGAACTGATGTCAATTCGTGGACGCCATAAATGTAAGAGCAATGCCAAGATGCGCCAGCACCTTGCTCCCAACTCGTGTTCTTGCGACAATGTGTCTGTAGTGTTCGCAGTCAAAGCAGTTACAGTTTGGTACTTCTGAAGTATTTCTGTAAGGATGCATGCCAACATAAGTAGCTGTGGGTGCCAGATGCCAGAAAAATACAAGAACAGTATGGACCCGCTGTACACTAAATTTCGTATCAGTTTGCAGGTATGCGGTTGTGCCTGTGCCGCTCATTATGTTGAGCACAACCTCCGGGAGCTGCAGTTCGATTCGTCTCTACTGGAGGTGGGGGGCGCTGCGGCGTTGTTTAAGACGGATATGACCTCCCTTGTGGGATTCAGGCGAGAGCGGTGCATGAAGCTCGCCAAGTCCATTGCGATGGAGTTTGGGCACACATCTTCCAACTACAGGTGCCGCTCTTTGCATTGTATAGGGATGCCGTAGTCTGATGCCTGCAGCTCGCACTATGCGTGCTTCCAAGAGCTCTGCCCGTTTACGAATGATTGGGTTCAGTTAGGGTTTGGCCTGTGCTGGGTCGAAAGCAGCCTCTGTCAACGAGTATTGCAGAAACAAGCAGTCCCGAATCTGATTTACAGATAGTAGCCATCCACTGCAGCACATGCCCAAATGCCTTGAGTGCGAAAAACAGATATCTCGCTGTGTCGCCTGCTTCAAAATGCCCATTAATTGCTTCCACGCTTCTCTGCCTCAACCATAGGAGGCAAACGGGTGAGGACATTGCTGTAGTCGTTGGTTGTCCATCATTGACGTGCAACGACCACAACTGGTTTTGACAGGAAGCAGCTCCAAATCTTTGCTGGTACTGGCATGCTGCTTACCAGTGGGGTGACGCCAACGCTTGCTGAAGCAGTGCTGCAGCTGCACGAGAGATTTGTCATGCTCTCCAATCTTCTGGACGTTGTCTGTTTCCGGGAGGTTTGGAGGGCAGTGGCAATGGCAGCAACGAGGTGAGCCCATGGAGCCCTGATTTTCGTCTACAGTTTCACAAGCAGCAACACCTTGCAAGGGTTCTGTAACACTGCTTGGGGAAAGAGTGCATCAGCGCAAGTTTAAGAGTTGTAATCAGCCCGTTAACTTGTGCGCCGGCAATTCGAGTGGGCGTCAAGCATTCCAGCGATCATCATTTCAAGCGAAGCCAGAAATATGCTGCCAGGTGTCCTGTCAGTTGCTGCGGGCGTTGCCAGAACGTTTTCCTGGAGACGATCGATCCTGTGATATGTGCAATTGTTGCTATGTTGATCTTCGCATATTCTGACTGCTCGAACTCTGCACTTATTGACATACTCTGTGCTGCTTACCGCAATGGCGGCAATGAGATGCGGCCTTCAGAATAACTGTATATGCGTTCAAACGCAGGGTGATGTTTAATGACGTGGCAACAGAGGCCCACTTTTCGCAGCAAGGGGCTTTGTTGTTCAAATCGGATTGCGAGGCACTAATGGAGGTGTTTCGGCCATTCTGCCCCAGGCCTTACACCCACATGAAGGTGAATACTATCAGTTGACCATACTCTGCCTACGGTTTGCTTTGGCTGCATTTCTGCACTATGCAGTCCGTCAGGGGGGGGGGGAAGAGCTGTACCATTGGTGCGATGTATCCCATTGTCATAAAACACATGTTCGTATTGCTTGGTTTCAGCATCCTGACTCACCGACTGGGGGAAGTTGTGTGTGAACCTCGCGCGTATTGAGACACACATAGTTGTTGCAACTTGTATTCTTGAAGTTCAGTGTCCATGTCCCCCAGTTCGCCTTTTGGCTGTACACTGCATGCCAGCAAGTTGGAGACTTGTGCGCCCTGCGACGGCGCATTGGAGTACAGCACATGGACATGAAATAGACCACCACATCTTCGCGACGCAGGAGCTCCACGAGGCGTGCATTTTGCTGAACCTGCCAACGGACACTGCTAGAAAGGTGTACGAGGGCTCGAAGGCTCCCTCCCCGCGTGGTGGCATATCCGCGCTGCTGAAGAGCCTCGGCATCGTCAGACTGAAGCCGGAACAGGCAATCTGCGTGCTCTTGCAGCGAATCTGAGGCAGAGGTCGAGCGCCTGTGGGCAGACAGCGGTGTGCGTGCACCAGTACCAGGGCGCTGTGTCGCGCACGTGGTACTCAAGCGCACCTTCCCAAATGGCACTTGGGGTTCACCGTGTGAAGCTGCCTGATTGCGTCAGCGTGCTCGAGCACACTATTGTCGGCCGATACTCGGCGAGAAAGGTCGATATTGCAGCAGCTTCGAAGTTGGTTGTGGAGATTGGCACAAGTCGGGCTGTACAAGGGGTGAAATGTTCACACGTGGCAGGGTTCGTCATGAATGAGGCAGTACGTTGTCATGAGACGCACGAGGGTACACGAACAATAACTGGCAGGCTGCTCGTACGCCTAATAATTTGCCTGTCGCCGTCCTGCCTTATTCACATCACTAGGCTGCGTGCTTGATCGGTGCTGTGCAGGGATAAGGAACATCCAGTGGGGCGAATGTGTAGCTCGTTATCGGTTTGACATTGATTTCTCCAATGTGGCAATGCACTAATTTACCGTCATTTGGGCCATGCCGGCCTTGCCATCACAGCTAGCAGCAAGCTAGGGCACCTGAGCACATTGGCTCAAGTACAAGAACGTGAAGAAAAGGAGCCGCGAAGGTGTTGCTTTGCTGCAGTCCGCAAGATCTGATGAGTGCCTCCAGGTAAATGTGTGGCGTGCTCAGCGCGAAACGAGCGCAGGTTGCGGCACTGTTGCCACAGCTTCTGCGCGTGCTAGGGTTTGAATGTCGCTCTATGTTTGGTGACATGGAAGGCCACCACCCCGGAAATCAAATGTAGCGCGGGCGAGATGCCTTGTGACAATTGTAGAAGCTGCGTCGCTATATTGTGCTTTCCATAGGGCGCTCAAGACCAGAATGGAAATCATTCAGTGTTGGTTGTCCATGTTTGACGACATGGGGCAGCAAGGACCGCATGAGTTGCAAAGCAGCTTCCAAACTCCATTGCCAACCCAAGACGATTTGTCCATGGTGTCGGCACTCATGTGGAACCAACAAGTGAAACGATCCATGGGCGATGGTAGACAGTGTGTTCTTTGGACACGGGAAATGGGGAGAAAAGCCCAGGACAAAGTGTTTGCGCCAGAAACAGGTTCTTGAGAGGAACGGACTGCGTTAGCCGAACAAGCGAGTTGTGGATGTGCATATTAAACACGGGCTGAAAATACATAAACAGTAATGCTGACGCAATTTGAATCGGCTCTCTCATTGTGTACGGCCTTTTGCTGGCCCCGCCCTTTGGTTTCTGTCCACCTAGCGCATCGTATCATTGAAAGTCGAAGGCGCTCGAGGAGGGCCATGGGTTTTGCTACCATGAAACAAACGGCTTTCCGGGGGGATGCCGAGCGGTAGGGTGTTGTGTATGGACCCCTCGGGCCCCAAATTGTTACGGTAGTCAGTAGCTGTTACGAAGCTAACAGGCAACATCGATTGGGACCTCGGGTTATTAACGGTAAAGGACACCAAATGAGTGTGATGATGTAATGTCTGTCATGTGGGTCAGCCAGGCCGACAAGACAGAAACCTCTTTAACTTCTTATTGCTTCTGAATCCCCACGCAGCTTGTTGTATGCATCTCTCTCTGCTGAAGGAACGCATTTGATTACGATGGTGGTGTCATAAGGGGTTGCACTTGTGCCCAAATAGCTGTTTGCCACAATGGCTGGATGCGGGTCTCATAACAATCGGTGGCACTGGTTCAGATGCAGTCTAGAGAAGGCGTGGGGCTTCCACGCGCCAGCGAGGGGGGGCTCAACCTTATTGTTTGTAACCCTACTTAGAACTGCAGGTGAATGATCTGGCCCGGTTTTGCCTTTGTCATTTTTTATGATTTCAACACTCTTAGAGGAGACAGCAGAAAGCGCAACACCGCATCCACTGAAGGCAACGGAGATGGGACCTACAGAATAAGGTTCAAATAACGCAAGCGTCAAAGCGCATAATGACATCGTCGGCCAATGGGCAGCCTATCTTGGCATGAGCTGTATGCCGCAGCATTACAGACAACCATCATGAAATGCCATGGTACAACCTCATCCGTGTCCAGTCCAGCAGCTACGCGGTTGAACCTCCACACAAAGGCACACACCAGTTTCTAACACTCTCACCTCCGAGCAAAAGAATTTCGCCCCCTATCCCTGGCCCCCTCTCCCCCTAGCCACACCTATACACACACACGTCCGTGTCGAACCATTGACACAAACGTATTCGCCCATGAACATTTCGGAAGCAAACGGCCCTAACATAGAAGTGTTTGTCATGACGTCCAGGGTGCAAGGGGAGGTTCTTGTCCTGTGCTCGCAACTGCAAGTGGCTTCCACAGCGTCATTCACATGTGTCCAATGGGCGCACACATACACACAAGTTAACGTGTTCGCGCTTCTCGCTTGCTCGCAGTCCAGGGCCGTTATGCATCTCTTCCGCAACATTTCGCACTGTGGGAATCGGTGAACCGGACATGCTTGCAGAAAATGGCAACCCTCTGGCCGTTAGGGTGAGTCCGCAGCGCTGCCTGCTTGTGACATGCATCACTCCCAAAAGCAACTTAGCAGTCATTGCTTCTTGAAGATTGCGGTCCTGTAGTGCTTGAGCTCTTCTATGCTCTCCCGTATGTCTGACAACGCGGTGTGATTGTTCTTCTTCCTCGGGCACCGCTTCCACTCCTTGGGGTACCACCTGCGATGTAACAAACAAGGTGTCCGTCAAGTGCCAGGACAAAGATTGGAGAAACGTGCGTTTGGACAACGATGTGATTGGACGAATGTGTGATGTGGCAGCCACGCCATTCAAAAAATGTGTTCGCACAGGCAACGATGCAGCATGGATTCGTTCGGGACTCCACACAGGGATGGTACGCGCACCGAGCCTTGAGTTGCAGAGCTTTACACAGCCCTTCATTGCCGCCAATCAAAGCGACCGGGGAAGACTTGTCGATGTGCGAATGAACGACAAATTCGGAGGTACCACCGGTGTTGGGTCGGTGGTTTCTGAAATCAAACACCATTCCTTTTCGGATTCCACAGTTTGCATTGCGTCTAGAGCGAGTTTGTTGTCCAACAAAGCAATTTCGCGTAGGGTGGACGCCAATAAACACAGCCGCCACCTTCGGCACAGCTCCTTGACGGTAGATACGTCCAGGATGCGGTAGTTCAGGTAGTCATGCAGCATGGGCATGTAACGCCTTAGGAACGTCTTGTCCACATGCACGGAGTTTCCTGCCAGCAGGGCCACCCCAGGGGGCATCAATTGCTTTACGAAGTCTAGCACAAGCTCCTCGGCCTGCTCCAGAGAAATCATGCTGGCCTTGCAGCGGTCCGTCAGGCCGCTGGCCCCGTGGTGCTCAGTGCACCACGCATCCATACGGTCGAACACATCATCTGGATGGTGGATGGCGATGGATGGCCCCTGCAGCACCCGAGCACAGCGCCTTGTCATGGCGCCCAATTTCACAACTGGAATCCCCTCAGAGAAGCCTGACACACGTCCAGCACCCTCTCAGTGCAATGCACAGCACATTTTCCTGGCACCTCGTTCGTATCTGGCTAAGCAGGAGAATGGGCTGTCGTCAGCGCTCCCAAGACGATGACAGGTACTTCTCCGTGAACAATTTATGCTCATGTGCGTGACGTCCAAAACACCAAACACGCTATCACTGTGATGCTGTATTTCGGTACATTTGGCACGACCGGCAAAAGATGGGCCGTGCACCTTCAGAGAAATGATGCAATTCGAACGTTCAATTTGCTCACCATTGTTCATGAGCAAAAATTACTACTGAAAGAATAAAAATGCGTCGTTGCATCGCGCTTCACCGCGCAACACTGGCGGCAATGCCCATCCACGAATTTTCTTGCGCAATGTTGACAACAGCATGTTGTGCCTGTTTGAAGTGATGCTGAAACGCACATACTACCAATATACTGCTGTGTGTCATGATCTGTATGGAAGTTCTGTGGGGAAACAGTTTTGCAGCCACTCGGACCACTGCTCATCTGCCAGCGTATGGGCATCCAGCCGCCCTTCTGGTCTGGACATTGGAAAATGAGGGGCGTGTGGTGGGATGTTGCGGGCTATGTTGTTGTTGATCAGATAACATTGGGGCTCGACACCGAACTGCAGCATATATCCATCCGATGCTGGTAGATTTCCAAACTACGTAAGACCTGTCATCTGATCCCTTGCATGGGGCAAACAGATCAACTAGAATACCCAGAGGGGTTGGGCAATGAGCTCAACGGCATAGGAAACGCAGGCAAGGCATTTGACGCAACAGCAACCTGCAATTCCAAAAGTGCAGTGGCCATGTGCAATGGTCAGAGCCACATTCTTGCCAATGATGGTTGAGTCAACGATTGTGCATGCATACCACACACAAACTGGATTGGCATCGCACCTCTATCTGTCTTTGCAAAGATGAATCGGTCACTATGCATGCGATCTCAATGATTGTGTCGGTTTCCAGGATCAGTCCTGCACCATGCAAGCCAAATGATGCAGTTTCAAATCTGCATCATGCAAAAACAACGGACGTTGCAAAAAACGCAAGGGTCGCATGAACGCCCTTGCTCAATACTACCCAATGTGTGTGATGCATGCAAGGGAATTGTTTCTTGTATTTTGACAAGCATAGCAGGCACGAATGTGAATATGGCGCCTGAGGAGCTCGAGGAACGTGCTCAGAGGAGGGTCAGCCGTGGAGTGGGTTTGTGGCAGAACGAATATTTGCAGTGTTACAGTGTGGCCCTGGCGAAGTTAAGATGCATCTGACCACGTTACAAGTTCTGTGCACAGCGCAACTTCCACTGCCCCATTCTCCAGTCCCATTCCCCAATCTCTTTGGGCATTCAAACTCCCCAATCTCCCCAAGTTTGCAGAACTTGCATTTTTCATCCCAAAAATGGCAGTGTTGTTCAGGTGCAGTCCAGGTGTTTGTCCAGAATTGTGAGAAATGCAAGCAAGAGTCATTCAGGAGAGCCCATCCATGCAACGTAATCTGGGCTTCTCCATTGTTCAATGCAACGGGAATCACTACCGGCAATCAAAAAAATATGTTCTGGGGCCTCTGGACACATGTGCACACATATGACTTGTGAATGTACTGGAATCTGTACAGATGAGCACATGATTGAGTCCAAACAAATGGGCACCACTCTGGGACCCTCTTTGCACAGCGATCAGTGGTTGTTCAATGTCAAAGCAAGCAAGCCACACACAACAGTGAGGGCACCGCAACACATGCGGGCACGTAGAGGGAACCAGAAAGAGTGTGTCATCTATTGAACCAGGCTTTGTTACCAAAAGATGAGGTTGTCACCTGACATTTCCAGGTCGATCCAGACCAAAGGATCGCTGAATGGCCATTTCTGATATCCTCTGCAGGGAATAGAGCATCAGGTCAGCCAGCTTGACTTCCACTTGAAGCTATCCAAATAATGTCCTTCTGACATTGTGGCATGTTGGCAACACTGGAATTTGCAGCTTCAACTCAAAGATCTCGATTGAAGGGAGCACTACGGACAGGTTGCGACAAGGACAGCAATAACTGGCTCCATTGTCAACAGCCTTCAACACCCATTCAACACAGCACTAAGTCGCGATGGCAGTTTATGAATCAGGGATTAAGTAGGGCATCTGAGACTCGCAAACACGCAGTCAAAATCGATCTGACAATCCAATCCAGTAAAACTGCCCAACTGCCAATATTGATCTGTTTCTGCAGTGTACTGCTTTGCTGTGTCCTCTGACATTACGTGAATTCCGTTCATATCAGCAGTTGCATGTAACAAAGGTATCCAAAGCCCCTGCACGTTGCAGACGATGATGGGCAGAGACCATCCAATCAATGTTTGGTCAATACACATCTGATCATAGTCCTATCAGCTGTAGGCAGAGACGTCTGCTTCATCTCCTAAAGGATGAAACAGAATCTCACAGATTTCTAGAAAAAGGGGTGCCCAATGCACGATACTGCTCTATTCAAGACCACGGTCACAAATTTTGAGGAAGCATCGAAATCCCAAAAGGGCCTCCGCCCAGACATCCCGTGAACTTTGCAACCAGACAGACTATTCGGCGGCGAGCGTGGCAACACTCTTGTGCCTATTCGCAGCGCCTGGCATCGCGCCACAGGTGCCAAAGGGCGCCGTTTCGATAGATCACAAACAAACGCAGCACCTTCGATACCCAGTCCATTGCGATTTCGACGAGGCTCATGCAGCCTAATCCCACCTGCCCGACCGCTGTGCTGCATCCTGCGACGTCCGCCTCGAGCCAGCACCGTCAGAGCACCCCTCCTCCTGTTCCTCATCCTCCCTTTCCTCCTCCGCCAAGAGCGTAAGTGGCGCGAAGGAGCTCATCGCGTACATGTCCATGGATGGCTGCGATCGGCCCCGCCCAGGCCGCATCGCCCTGCTGCAACGACGCCACCATCGCCATCAGCGATGGGCAAGGGCGGCCGCAGAGGATCGCGGATCGGCCAAGCCAGCGGTGCCGCCAACGCGGATTCGAATCGCGAGAATCAAGCCTTTGCCGGTCGCGGAAATGGGCCACCAGGCAGGATGGCGAGGCCTCACCAGAGAGTGCCTGGTTGCTGATTGGGCGCAGCCGGCTTGCTGGGAGGCAAGGAGGCGGGGGGACTGGGGTGTGGAGTTCGAGAGGAGTGCGCAGAATAAAGGCCGTTCTGGACTACGCGCCGCAGTCGCCGGGCAGCTGTTAACAGCTGAAGCGGCATGGGCAACAGGCATTATGTTTTGCGCCTGAATTGCGGTTTGTGTCCGGGTTAGATTTGAAATGACCGTGTCGTTACGGTACAGCCCTGCGATCTTCCCGCCCAATGGCAGGCTGAACATGTAATTATAATTACATCTTCAGAAAAACGTCACAAACCGTGACAAAATGTCCACCTGATCCAACTCCAACAAACACCTATCCGTCACCAACCCACCAATCCAGCTTGTCCATGCAGTTCAAGAACCCGGGTATGTCACCCGCAAGCCAAAGAGTGCCTTTTCCGGTCCCAAATGTTCATCTCGAGCGAAGTTTCAACAATGTCAAAAAACAATCCCAACAAAACCCAAGGAGAGGGCGGGCGGGGAGAAAACAAAGTGCAGACTGATGGCGCGTCGCCTCCTTAGGCCTCGGCGCCACCAAACAGTTCCCGAACGAGCCGAAACCCGGCCCCAAGGACCGTTGCCTGCCTTGGGGCCCCAGCAGCAGCATGTTCCCGCGCAAACTGGGCGCCCTGCTGACAGAGCACTGTCGGGTAGCAATTTTTTCGCCCGCCCATCTTCGGGCCTCCCGTAAACTAGCTTACTGGACGTAACCATCCCTTACGGTACAGCCCTGCGATCTTCCCGCCCAATGGCAGGCCGAACATGTAATTATAATTACATATTCAGAAAAACGTCACAAACCGTGACAAAATGTCCACCTGATCCAACTCCAACAAAACACCTATCCGTCACCAACCCACCAATACAGCTTGTCCATGCAGTTCAAGAACCCGGGTATGTCACCCGCAAGCCAAAGAGTGCCCATCTCCAAACAATACGGCCCGGACGGCAAGCGCGAGCAAAGTACAGGGCCGGAAAAGGATGGGGAAACGAAGAGGCCCCCATCAAGGCGACGGGACAGGAGGAGGAGACGGCGCGGAGAAGATGTCACGAATCTCGTCGCGAAGGGAGTCAGCGGCGACAAGCATCCAGCCAAAAAGGCGGTAGTCAAACTCAGTAGGCCGCCGTTGCAAATCCACATACTTCCACAAAGCCGCGGACCCCGGGGCCCACCACCCCCAATTACGAACCTGGGCCTCAGGCACCAGTACGGCAAAGGCGGAGGACGCCCCCGTACGCCGCACGCAGTGGTGGCGGTAGGCCTGCCCCGCCGCAGTGAGGTGGCGGGCGGCCTCGAGGAACCAGGTCTGAACAGAGCGGGCCGAAGGGGGGTGGGCATCAGAAGGAAGGCCGTAGAAGAACTCGATGTGGCCGCGGCGGCCAGGAAGGTGCTGGGCGCGGCAGACATCGCGCAGGCGGACCCAATGACG